TAAAAAGGATAGTCAATTGTAATTCACTTGATTTTATAATATTATTAGAAATGAATTTCTTTCCTTTTCATTATAGCTTTTTTCATTAGTAATTGTTTAATTTCACATAATTAGTTGTGATTTTTACCGCTGTTCACATTTGACATTTGGGCAAATAGAAAAGGATCTAATTTTTCTTAACTCTGGCATACTAAAAAATATTCTTTCCACATACAGAATATTATTTACAAAAATAGTGAGAGGAATAAACTTCCATTGGGGATATGTATATAGGTAATTTGAAAATTCTGTGTATATTTGGTAAAATGCTGTCATACTTTTAAATAACTTAGAGAACTTCAGTTGAAAGCTCTTACATAAAGGCAAATTACAGTTGATTTTATTTGAATGTCATTTTCCAAAAGGATGGAATTAAACAACAAAGTGTGGGGGGCAGTAAAAGTGACTTAGAAATTCCGACCTGGGTGAAGGCAAAGTGGTGATCTCTGTGTTTTGAAGGTGATATACTTTCATTGATGCTGGAGGTTATCTGCTGAGTTAATGGTTCATAGCTGATATGGTTCATATTCTAGCTTTCACTGTGCAGGTTAATTTGAATAAATAGTCAGCATGAAACTTCCTCACTGACTGGTTTTTTTCACAGTTAAAGTGCCACGTGTATTTTGTGCAGCGAACCTTTGTTAATCTATTCCTCCTCTTTGGTTAGAAGCATCACACGTATTCATCTCCACCTGCCAGATAAACGCTTATCTTCTCTCTGACACTGGGTTTGACCCACTTTGTCCATACTGAGTTCTACTTGCCCAATCCACACATAGCATGGCTCATGCACAGGCTTAACTGTGCTCTTCCTATAGTGTTAGGCGCCGTTGGAAATAGTGAAGTCTTGTTTCAGAAAATGATATGATGTGTTCCTAGAGGGACAGTGTCAGCACCTTTGTCCTCTGTGCATTGTAGATGTATTTATCACATATTTACAGTCATACAGTTTATGGCTAGATGAGACCTTTGGCAGATAATTTGGTCCAATTGCATCATCTTAATGGACAAGAAAAATGAAGTTATAAAGAGGTAAGATAGTGTCTCCTAAGGAGCCTGGCTATTGTTAGGGGAAAAGCCAGGACTGGAAGTTAGGTACCCTGATTTTCATTTTAATACAATTTCCACTCTTCCTTCCTTGCATTCTTCACACAACAGATATTTACTGAGCATCTACCAGGTGGCAGGCACTCTGCTAGGCTCTGATGCTGCAACATTGAGCCTGTCTTTGAACCTATGCTGTGAGCAGGGAGGAAGATATTAACAAATACCACGCAAATACACAAACCAACTGCTGTGATAAATGCTGTTAAGGATTATGTAGGGCTGTGAGACAGGTAATGGATGGAAGATTTCTTCAAGAAACTGACTTTGATTTGTAGGACTTGGCATTGTATTTATATGTTAAATGCACTTAAATGAGACAGATATTTGTTGTAAGCTCACTCTGTGTTAGGTTCCAAAAGAAATGAGTCAGTAAGCTACAGCCCCGCCTCTCAATGTATAGTCTACAAGAGAGGGGTAAGTCAAGACGTGGTGATTAACATAAAGCAAAACGTGAAAGTTTCATTGTTCAAAGGGCACAAAGATAACATTTCAGGGAAGAGGAGAAAAATCAAGAATAACTTCCTCCTGTAAGAGATGGCACATGATACAGCCCCAGAACAAAAACTAAAGATGGTACAGAAGGAAGAGGGAAAGCATTCCAGATGTAAGTAAAAGCGAGCAGAGATAGACCAAGTTAGGAAATGAGAGTTTTCTGGCAATAGAAAGTAGTCTCATTTTTTACAGGTGCAAGCTCTCAGTGGAAAGTTACAACAATACACTGTTGAGAATGTTGTCTTTATTTAAATACCCTATAATCAATTGAATTTAAGGATGGAAATGCAAAAATCCCCTCTTCTTCCTACTCCTGGAGCATGTAATTCTGTGCTTTGGTTGGTTGCCATCTGTAGGTTCCTCCCATCCCCACCCTCCATGAGAACTATGTCCAATTCCCTAATTGCTATATTACCTAGCATCTCGGTGGGGTCCAGCAAACATTTAATCATAGTAGTGAAAAGGGCCTGGTCTGTTGAAACTGTTTGCTCTGCCATAAGCTAACTTCTCCAGATACAAACAGAACTCGTTTGAAATGACATGGCTGGCCTAGTGTGGTAAGGATCAAATTCATTTTCTAAATACTATCTATGCTAACCTATGTCACCTTGTTGCTTTTACCCACTTCAGAGAAAAGTCTCAACCATGTTTCCCTATGGATAGTATAATAGTTTGTCTAAATATTATTGTAGAAAAGTGCTAAAAATTACTTACTTAAGAGCACGTATTAACCACCGGCAGCTGCCATGTTCTAGGCTCTGCATAGTACGTAGCATCATTGGTCAAGCCTATTAGGGAAGTCAATGGAGAAGACTCTTTTAGAGCAAATGCTCTAAATGAATGGCCTCCAGTCAGACTCAGGCACAGATATGCTTTATTTATCTTTTATAGGATTGCCAAAATTTAAAATTAGGGACATTTCACAGGAAAAAACATCTAGATTTTTGGTTTCCCTTGAAAATTGGAAGACCTGGCAACAGTTGACCTGCATGCCCAATGGCAACAACTGGTTGGAGCTAAATAGCAGCTTCTCTCTTTAATTAGCGAGCACATTTCTCGGCATGTCGCAGTCCTCATCACTCGTTATTGCCCACACCAAGCCTGTTGACTCATTTCCATGGCTCCCTAGCCCTTATGAACATCTTTTAACGACTCCTGCTTTGGGGTGACTGTTGCTTCTGTGGGCGTCTTCTCTTGGGTTCCCCATAGCAATTCTGTGGCTAGCCAGGCAATTGATTATGATCACAACTTGCATCTGTATGGTGCTTTATAGTTTGCAGCGGTTCCGAAACTTCTGTATGCATCAGAATCATCTCGAGAATCTCTTAGAAAAGAGATTGCTGAGTCTCACTCCTAGGGTTTCTGTTCAAAAGGTTTGAGGTAGGATCAGAGGATTTGCATCTCTTTCAAATTTCAGGTGATGCTGCTGATGAGTGGACCACCTTTTGAAAACCACTGACCCTACAGTATTGTAACACAATACCAAGTGACATGAGGCTGGTGGGGCAGTATGTTCCCCACCAGGAATAGCATTTGGAAAGATTAAACAGTTCATCCAGGTCATAAGAAGAAGCAGACTCAGATTCAAAACCCTGTCTTTATAGTATATCCAGCAGGAAACCATCTGTATATCCCCACTTCTGCCCCCAGCTGCCCTTCCAGACCCACGGAATCCTCCAGAGAACCCTATAATACAGATGTGGCCATGGGTACTCTAATTTAGGATTATACCAAGGGTGATCATGTCTCAGGGCACAAAGAGTCAGAACTTGATCCTATTCAGAGGGCAAAGGCAGAAAGGCAGTGGTTGAAACTTGACATTTGACATACCTGCTGGGCAGGATGGAGGCGCCCACACATCTAGTGTCTTGTGCTTGGAGGAGATCCAGTTCAACAGGCCGAAGGCAGAGCAGATGCGTCTAGTACAGTCTTTGGTATCAACACAGAACAGGTGTTATGGAGCCACACGGAGCACAGCATTGGGGATTCATTGGGAGTGAGTGATATTGTTTTCAACCGGTGAGTCTCATGGAGAACTATGATTGAGGTAGGCCCACCTGGATTGGGATTCAGGAACAGGACTGCAGGGATAACAGGGCAGATTGCCTGGATAGGGAGTAGGTATAAAAAGCAACTACAGGGATCTGTTTTCCAAGATTGGAGCCCAGGGTGGAGCTGGGGCTTCTCGATTACTAGATCAGACTGTCAAGGTCAGAGCAGAACTAGCAAGAAAGATGGTTTCTTCAGCCTTATGTTGGACTTCTTGAAACCTTATTCAAGTCAAGGTTAGTCTTAAAGACATGGGGCCCTTTCTATTTATAGGAAGAGAAGGAAGGTAAAGGTTGGAAACCAGACAGGGCCTAACATGGATTAAATTTATTAAAATTCTATCTGCATAAAACTATGAAATAATTAGGTCATCATGTGATCATGATAGCCATTCACTAACCTAGTTCAAAAGTTTGTATTTCTGTACAAAATCAAGACTGTTTGAATAAATTATCAGCCATCTGCCTCCAATTCCAAGGTAATTAGTTATTATATTTGCATATTTATGTGCATGTATAATTTGCATATATATTACATCCATGAAATCTATTTTAATAGGGGTTATTAAGCAATGGTATATTATGGCTAAACTGGGGGTTTGACCATACAACATTTTCATTTCAATCATTTTTTAAACCTTACTTCTTTCCTGCTAAATGTTATATAATGAAATAACAAAGTTCTTTTTCCTTGTTAAAAAATTGAATAGGATCCTCAATCTGATAATGTAGATAAGGCAGATATAAAATCAATATTTTAGAAGTTGGGGTATTTGGGAATGGAGTGGGAATGGTTTCTGTTCAAATTAAATCATTCCTAGTACCTGTTGTTCTAGTAGTTTTACACCTTATCTGAAAAGTGCACTATAGGAACAAGCTTTGATTAGTTGAGGAGTCTGATTGAGTTTTTGCTAAGAAATAATACCCATGGGTTGTGTGTATTATGTGTTTGATTATATAAACTATAAACTGGGATAATTATTCCTGTCTTTTTCCCCTTTAATAATATTAATTGCTTTGGGATTATGATAATCGCCTAAAAACAATTGTATATGTAACATGACATCCTCATTGTTCTGATGGGAGCTGAACTCTACTTTCCTCTAGTCATCTTTAAGTAGCCTCAAGATTTACTCTACAGAGAAAAAAATTGAGACTGTTCTAAGAAAAAAAAAATGATGCATTACTTTATTATAAACCAGTTTGAAAACCAGTATATGAAGGAAGACCTCAATTGTGCACAATGTAACATGCAAATCAAAGGCAATTTTCAGTGATGGAAAGACTAAAGCTGCTTCTTTTTTTTTTTAACAGGCTCATGCACAATTAGTTCGAGAAGTTGATGTGGAGAAGGTGTCTGCTTTTGAGAATCCATATGTAGACGCAATAAAGAGTTTATGGAATGATCCTGGAATCCAGGAATGCTATGATAGACGACGAGAATATCAGCTATCTGACTCTACCAAATAGTAAGTATTCATCCAGGACGTCCTTTGGCTCTTTCTCTTTACTTTCATGTGCAGGATCTCTGCAATGACAACTTGTGTTCTGTGCTTTGTATGTAGTACCTGATTCAAACTTGGAAGTTAGGCAGGATAGACATTAAACTTGTGCCAGCCTCGTAAGGGACTGACATCAAAAGTTATGAAGAGTGGTTTTGTTTTTCACTGTTTCCTGTTGGAAAAACAAACTGAAGTCTAGCAATCTGATTTCACCAACCCATCTTTTTCCTCAGAGTGCAAACCAGCGATACTCAAACACATACTCCATTGTGATTTGAAATCTTGTGATCATAATTTTTAATACACGTTTCTGATCTTATTCATGTGCTAGGAAACACCTACATGCAGTAAAAACTGCAAGCAAATATGTTTGATTATGGCTTCTAAAACATCAGACTTCCTACTTTCCAGTTTCCAGACACAACTTCGATTGCTTTCTGGGAGCCACTATTATGTTGATGGATAGGTTTGCCTTTGCATGAAAATTGCGTGTGAGTCTAATTTTGCATGCATGCCAAAATTATGTTGTGAACCGTCAATCAAAGTCATGTGTCTTGGGAGAGATTTGCATCCTAAAGAGATTTATGAGTTCCCTTGATTAAATCTTGCCTAGCAGAAAGAAAGTAAAGATTTGGCAACCCCTGGATTGCTGTAATCAATGTAGTCAGCAATCTAGATAATGGATATTTTTGTAGTATTTAGCCAGATTTCTGTCTACATTAATTACGTTAACCAACATTCACCTCTTGTGTTGGTTCTGGGCAGACAGAAGAATGGGTAGAAGATATGCTGCTGCCTCAGGCCAGTTCAGATGATGAAATGACCCCCTGGAGGAGAGCAGGACCATGGGGAAAGGAAGGAGAAATAGGGAGCCCTATAGGCTGGTTGGCGTCCCTCAGTGGAACATAGGAGATCCAAGAGCTATTTGGCTTTGTTTTTCCCGTAAAGTTGATCATGTTTTCACCCTAGTTCCAGGCATTTGTATACGATAAGTTATGATTCAGGTCAGCCACAGAAATGTTGCCCGGTCAAAACAGTTTTTATATTCTTAAAGCAAATTTGAATTCCATAATTCAGATTGTGACAGAATGCCCCTGAACACGGTGTAAATCACATTTTCTCTAATATTAACCCCCTCATGTGCCTCGGAAATGTGTGCTTTACTCATCCCCCCTTTTCTTTTTCCTTCTTCCTCACCTTCACAGCACTCTTCCTATTCCCAGCCTTTCTCTTCTGCTGTCTGTTATAACTGCCTGCCTTCGCCCCTTTCCTCTCTCCTGAGCGCCTGCGATTTAAGTTTCTGTGAGTACAGAGATGAAAACGATGCATTCAGCGCTGTCTGTTCCAAATTCTGCCCCCTCAACCTTTGACCAGCTGTCTTTCTTTTACTTCCTGCCCCCTCTGTCCTTCTGTTTCCTTTGTCATTTCAAATTTCATCTATCTCCCCATGTTGTGTTTTAGCCCTTGTTCCCTGTTCCTGCTGGTTATGTCTTCTACTGTCTGCTTGTTGACTTCTCTCCCCTCATCACCAATTCTCCTTCAATTCCTCATCACTTCTTTCTTTGCTACTGTGATGCCGCTCCTGGCCTTTACTAGTGAATAAATCCTCCATTATAAAGGCATATTGATTAGTCAGTCCTCTACCTCTCATCATTTCTAACCTGTATCTTTTTACTTTTATTGTAAATCCTGTCTCTTCGCCCTCTCCACCTGTTCTGTTCTTTACCTGTCACATATTTGTTCTCCCTACAGAAAAGTCTTCCTATTTAGAGCACCGATGTCTAATAATTATGTGCTTACCAGGGTTAGGGCTTCTCTTTAGCAGACTGTTTTGCCTCCCGCTCCTGGGATAGATCCTCTGAGAGCTTTCTGTTTGTACCAAGGATGCCTGTATTAACTGCTGGAGTTGTGTTCTTGATACAAGGCTCCATCACATGTCCTCACCAAGGTGACATTCCCTTGGTTTAGATTTGTGGATTTTTAGACAGATACCCATCAGTTACTATGAGAATTGGATGCTACCACATCTACTTTCTTTAGGGCCAAGAGCTATCTACCCAAGACAGTTTCTCCTGTTAGCCCTGGGGTTCTGGGAAAGCTGCCATCTTAGATTTCTGTTGTATAGCCCACGTCTACCGTAAAAACCTGCCTGCTTTTTTGACACATCCTCTATGCTAGAGCTAAAGGTCTTGGGGCACCTGGGACAGGCTGATCTAAGCCCCTTTAAATGATTATTTCTTAAACAGTTCTTTCCCCTAATGCAGATAGAGAGAAATTGATTTTCTAAACTATACATATGTGGATACATGAGTGTGTATACACATACACCTAATTATTTTCTAACCATATCTTTATGCAGAAGTAATAAAGAAAATTATAACATGTCCTTGTCCCCACATTTTAGTATGCATCTTTTAAGGACCAAAAGGACATTTTCCTACATACCGTGTTTCCCCGAAAATAAGACCTAACCAGAAAATAAGCCCTAGCATGATTTTTCAGGATGCTTGTAATATAAGCCTTATCCCAAACATAAGCTCCAGTTAAGATCGTCAGCCAGATATGACTGAATAAATGTAGATTTTTGTACATGAATAAATGAATACATGTAGATTGTTGGAGCAAAAATTAATATAAATATAAAACCCCGTCTTATTTTGGAGTAAACACGGTAGTACCTAATACCATATTACACCTAAAATTAATTACCAGTTATCATTCCATACCCGGTTCATACTCAGACTTCCCACATTCTTCCAAAATGTCCTTTAGAGGTGGTCAATTTTAGTACTACACAATTGCATTTGGTTTTCATGTCCCTTAAATCTCTTTTAATTGAGCAGAGTCCTGTTTTGCATTTCACTGGCATGTTGAAGACATTGCCCTGGATTGGCCTGAGTGCCACCTCTTAGCACGATTTAACTTTCTCTTCAGTCTCTTGGATTCTCTGTAAACTGGAAGTTACATTAACTTGATCAAATTCAAGTTAAACATTGCGAGTAGAATGCATTGTATGTGATGTTGTGCAGTAATTTACCCATCATTGATGAAGTTAGGGTTCACCACAGTATTAGGGCACTGATACCCTACATTATAAAGTGATATTTTTTCCTCCTGCCACCAAAGCAATCTGTGGTGTCACTGAGGGGTCTTCAATTCCCCGTCAACTCTTCATCTAATAGTTTTAATTCCAGTTGATAATGTTTGTCTGATTTAGCAGTTCCATTAGGATTTATAAAAGAATGATTTTCTACTTTTATCAGTTGGTCTACATTGGCATTCTTCTGTGAAGTAGAAGGTTTTCTCCTCTACTAGTGCCATTTGATTATCTTGAAATACATTTTCTACCAGAAGATGTATATTTTCATCTTTTTGTTACGGTAATTTTTTACATAGACTAAATAGATGCTGACTGTATCATTTATTAGGACATTTTGAGAAGGAAGGGGTTGCCATTAATAATTATGATGAAATCGTGGCAAAAACTGGGAAAACTCCTGGTCAAGCAAGAACATTGGGTCACCATAGCTAAATGAAACCTGGGGAGGTGTTTCGCCGTTTTCTTTTTTTTTTTTCCCCCTTCATTTTCTCTAGAAGACTGTTTACTTTAAGGAGAGGAGAACCAATCAGTTCCTGCCAGTTAGGTAAGGAGTTATATGTGGAAAACTGTGTTGGCTGGCCCCATGTTTCTGATCTCTTACTGGGATGTTTCAACTCCCTTTCAATCTAGATCAGTGCCCGAGCAGCCTGGCTGGCCTGCCTTTGACCCCAATGTGCCAGGAGACCTGAGTATTAGTCACCTTATTCTTCCCCCATCTTAGTCCTGGGCACTTTCCCTGAGCCAGGAAAACCCTCCCAGTACAAAGATAGGACAGGTGGCTTTTTAGATGCACCCAACTGCTGCTGTGTTCCACTTATTTTTCCAGTGTAGCCCTAGCAGATGCTCTGTGAACTATAGAGATGGCACTGGTGAGGAGGTGGGTCCCATATTTGGAGCATCACTTACTCCCAATTAATTTTCACAGAATAACTCAAAATAATCCCTTTCTCTGTATTAAAGATAGTTGTTCCACCTTTTCCTTCTGAATTTGTTTGTGTGTTCTGCTGCTGTATCTGTAGTCATTTATCTTGCCACCTTTACTTCTTGTAGGGTTCTTAATGTTCGTTCTGTCTTTATAATTAAAATAAATTCTTCACTGATATTGTGAACCTAATTCCTTATAGAGTATCATCACCTTACAGAAATCTTTCTGAATTTAGGGCCAACTGGTCTGAGGATTACTGTCTTTAGTTGTGGTTCTTCAGTTTAGATTTAGGGGGAACACATAGATCTCTAATCTCTAGCAGAGTGAGAATCAGGGCCTGCCAAGTATGTCTGCTTAAAGTTTGCAGCTATCAGTTACTCTTTCCAAGACCCCTGCTGGTCGTGAGAGTCAGCGTAGGCCACTTGCCAGGAATACCGAGAGCATAGGCCACGCATGCCTCTCTTCTTCTTTTCTGTCTGGTGAGCTCCTATTCATCCTTTAAGACCCAATTCAGGAGTCACACCCACTGAAAGTCTTGCCCAACACCAAAGATAGTGAGTTACTGTGCAGTCTATCTTAACACTTTGTACGTATCTCTTTTGTTTCTGTTATCTCTCTCCTCTACCCTCAGAGCCTAACTGGGGCTGCACATGTTTGACCTTCACAGATGATTGTTCCATGAAATAATTGATGCATAATTTCCACATTGCAGTGACTGTGATGTAGGCACTGTCTCTCGGACCATTAGAAATGAACTATGAAGTTTCAGAGCTGAAGGCATTCAAGTCTTTTTCCTGCTGTTTTTGAAGGTCTGGGATCTGGAAAGCTCTATTATCAAAAAAAGTAATAGCTGCTATTTGCTGAACACTTACTGTATATTAGATTCTGTGTATATGCATTATTTCATTTAACCCTCAAAGCTACCCAAAGTAGTAGACATTT